GGCTTAGGGGTTAGGGTTTAGGGTGCAGCTTTCTTGCAAGTTTGGACAGGTTCGGGGGAGCAAATAGCCAGAACTCTCGACAGTGGTGTTTGTAGGAAGGCCTTTGAAAGGCGTCTTTGTCGAGGGTGTAAGTACAGTGCAAGCGACTGGGTGTCTGGGCATTCGTCGGTGTTTCAACTATCCATGTGCGACAGTCGCTAGGGCAGAACGATGTTAGCGAGTTCATTGTGAAGGACGTGGGGAGCAGCATGATGCACCCATGCCCGATAATTGAAATGCTATTCGTGAATGAATCACCGAAATCATGCACAGAAGCGGTGGAATAAGCCCGACAAATCGAAAACGCTCTGTATGACTGTATGACTACATGTATTTCGTTGTCTGTCGCCAGGCTGTCTTTCGGCACGTGAGAGACAACGCTTCAACTGCAACTGCTTTCTCTGCAGCCGGTCAGAAGTTGACCAAGCACAAGCCAAGACGCGGGGGTACTGTGTGGAGGCCACTCTGCTCAAACCTTAGGTCAGCGAGCGCTGTGGGATTTTCGGGCCTTGCGAGGAACCCCGCTAGCAGTACGCGAGCATGGGCTGTTCAGACAGCAGGGCTCCTAGCAACAAGGTCTTGCCATCTAGGATCTATGTTAAAGTAGGTTCCGGCAGGGTGGGGTACCTCAAATGCTGAACGTTATTACCTTACCCAAAACAAGTCCTACTCTAACGTCCTAAATGGCAGACTCTAGAGCGATAAACATCCTAAGCAGTCCGATGCAGTAACCAGGCCCCAAAACGTAGCCGTAATCCTGAACCCTTCACCTGACCGATATGCAGCACCGACACCCTAACCAGCCAAGGCGCTTCTCCATCTCCTCGATCACAATCTCCCCACTGCCATCTTGGTCCACCGCATCGAACAGGGAAAGAATTCCAGGCAGCATCTGCCTTGACATCACTGACATTTCTTGGCACGTGCTGTTGACGAGGACAACGATGATCCAAGCTGTTGTTGGTTGGGCTTTGTTCAGCATTCATCAAATGCCAAGGTGGTGAAGGAACAGCCAACATCTCATGAGAACTATTGGGTTTCTGGCAGAGATCATGCAGGCAAAATTTTACAGGCTCAAACGGAGGCGTGATGATAACAAGTATCGCAACTGAGAGTCAGTGGTGCTGCTGCTTCGGAGTCTTGCCTGCGGTTAGAATAAGAACAATGATGATACTAATATTCACCATATTTCCCTTTAAGAGTACTAACAATGACAACAACAAAGCCAACAACAAGAATAATAATTTAGGTATCAAGGCTTCGTGCTTGGGGCCCTATGTCGTTTCATTTGTTTCTCTTACCGGCACTATGCGCATTCGTATTCATCTGATGTTTAAAGTTTTATATGCTTCAGACAGAGAAAGTCCAGTGTGTTTCCATTGGCAATCTACCTTCCACGGCCAACAATGCAAACCCCAGAAGTCCCGGACATAATAAACTCTGAGCGAGTAATGGGAATTTACAAGGAGGCCGTGTCTCCACAACCCTATCATTTCAAAGACACAAGCTGCAGAATCTTTATTCTTCAAGCCTTCTGAGGCCTTGTAAAATACTGAGCAGGACTCGCAGAAGAGAAAAAAACAAAGAATGCACCCGTAGTTTCATCAACCGCCCCAAATATATAAGATCTAAGCCGGGCACTTCGGGTTCAGAGTTTGCGCGCTATGGGATTCAAAGTCTAGGTTAGGGGTTTTAGCGGCTTAGGGTAGGGTTTAGGGGTTTAGGCTCCTAAACCCAGCACCCCAACTAGGCTCGTCAACGAAAATCCTCCGAGCCGCTTGGCTGTGACCATGCCAACCTTCGCTTCCAATTCCCGGTCCTACGAAGCACCCAGGCTATGCAGGAGCCTTATATAAGAAGTTATAATGATTACAGTAGACTACGGTTCGTTGATGGGGGCTCCCTATGCAACTGTAGGTGGCCCAACCTGAATCCGGAATAGCCTACCTTGCCTTAAGACTCATATAGTGTTGACGCGTGGCGTATTGTTCTATGGTCGGATGCAGTCAAAGCCACAAGGTGCAGTCAAGCACGTAAGATACGTGAACTTCTCCGCTGTATGTGCCTGAGAACATTGAACTCGGCTACACTTACCCATACAAGCTGACCTGCCGAAATCGATGGCATCTTGGCTTGTACTGCGTGGATGAAGTCATCACGTGTCATAGGGGGCTCCACCTGAAGCACTCGCACGTGCTGAGGGCGGGATCTCCAGCCGCAATGGCTGCATGCCAGCGCTTGGTTGCGAACTGCGCCACATACTCAGCGGACTCTGCCTTCGATTTTGGTTTGGCCGCTGGTTTGTCGGAGCCCTTCTTTCCGCCCTTCCCGGAACCTTTGCTGCCTTTTGGCTTCTTCGGCATATCACCAAAGGCGGAAGGACTAAGTGATCACGAAGTCTCATCAAACGCCTGGGGCGCCGTAAGAAACTCTTTCACCAAAGTCTCCGGTCAAGTGAAATTTACAGGCCAGTGACAACATCCGTCCATTTTGAGATGCAATGCTCAAGGACGGCTGCGTGCCTCTGAGGTGAGAGAAGCCCCAGAAGCCTGCAAGCGGTACTGTGCATCAACGAACAGTAGACCCGCCAAACACCCAGGAGAAAGTTCTACCGAGACCTAAAGTTTTCGGGTTTACGTCAGTTTACGCTTCAGGAAACCGAAACTATCTTGGGAGTCAGAGACATGTCACCCGGGTCCCTTAAATATGTTATGAAGCTCCCTAATCCACTATTAGGTTTAAGCGAGGCACACTGCACATGTAGCTTTTAGACACTGTGCCCTCAGCCTGGGATGTCTATCACGCTGGGAGGCTAACGTCGAGAGTTGGAGGTGAAAGGGCAAACTTTCCGCAAAACCGCAGACTGCCTTTAACCCGAACCCACAAGGAGCCCTCACCTTATGTGGCACCCCAACAAGGGCTTCCAAAGATGTCCTGCCGGGCATGTTCCAACGCGCCCTCCACGAGAACCGCCGTCACCAAATTCCTCGAGGCTTTTGGAGATCTCTTGAAAACAGGGGCAGCTTCTTTAGGGGCCCTTGTGTTAAGGATCCTACTATATTTAGGGCCAAGTTGAGGTTCCAGATTGGGATGCCTTGCTTGATCTTCTCCTGTGCTTCAGTTTACGGGGTTACAGGCTTTTGGTTGCTAAACCTTTGACTTCAGTGCCGCAGCACATGCGAAGCTAGACTTTTCGGCCCCGAAGCACGTCGCACAAGATCTGCCAGCTGAGGAAATGCTGCCTTTCGGTCCAGTAGGAACATCCATCACTTTGAGGTGCTGGGCAATGGGGTGAAGTTTATCACTGACTTACCCGGCGCGGACTGCCCACAAGGCCCTGCGAACGAAGAGGGTTACGACGGGGAAAATGAGGGCCTGTTTCCGGGATGGCGGAGGTCAAGAAAACAACCCGTGTGTTGAGCTTGAAGCCGTAGGGCTTGCAGAGCGCTCGGGGTTCGCAGCCCACATATATACTTGTTCTGCGGACGGATTAACCAGACTCCACACATATGAGGGAGCACACAATTGCTGAATCGATTCACAGTTTTACCTTCACAGCGACCTGGCATTCAGATACACCTATTACTGTTACTTGATGACCGGGCTGCCTTGAAGTCAACCAGTTCTCCCAGGCCAAGCTCAAACCCCTACACCCTCAACATCTCTAAACCCTTCGGGGAAACCTCTCAAAGTGCGAGATTGTCAGCTTTCCGACTGCTCGAACACTTCTACCACATCTTTGGATCTTGCAGCCAAGGCTCATCAAGGCAATTGAGACGATAATGATCAAGCCTAGGAAGTAGAACATCAGCCACGCGTTCCTGCGCCCCGAGGTCCCGTCCCAGTATTCCTCAACCTCTTCTGCGACCAGTGCAGGGTGCTTACCCCCAATGGTCGTGGTAGTAGTACTAGTACTTGTACTGCGGTGTACTGTAGTAGTACTACTACAAACAATACTAGCACCTACTAAGAGTAGTAGTTGCCCACCCATCTTGTACTATTGGGCCGTTTGTCTACCAGCCACTCCCGTTTGTTTTGACGGCTCACAGCTTTGACCCGCTCTCTTCACTTTCCGTTTAGGCTTGGGAGCTCGCCATCATCATCCCATCACGGAACAAACCAAACATCGCAATTCAGGAACCCTACCCCCCGGAGCTCTTCTTGATGAGCGGAAGGTAAAGGCTGGACAGCGAGTCCAACGTCACGAACCTCAGGTGCGGCCACGAATATGCGAGGTTTGTCTTGTTTTTGGGGGGAAGGCCAAGCAAACCTTCGGAGGTTTTGAGGCTCAGCTGGGGAGCCTTAAAGATGGATGCACAGACAACCAGAACTGTGACGAAACGGACCTTAGAACAAGCCGTGGTTCAACCGGCATAAGCGGCTTAAGCGCTGGGGATTTGTGGTGAATGAACGTCTCACAGCCGTGAACAACACCGGCCCAGCGGCTGTGTCAGGGTCATCATCGTCACCCCAAGGGAGCTGAAGCGCTCATCCAGGAGGCGCTGGATGTTGTCATCCTCCTGGGGCCATGAGAAGAGGGAAGCTCTCAACCTTTCAGCTTCAAGCTGCCTTATCGCACCACCACGAAAGCTAGAGCCACTGCCGAACACAAGGCCTTTCAAGCTTTCAATATGGGAAGAGCACTTAGAGTTGAAAGGAATCCCGCTGCACTGGCGTTTCGAGACACAACCTTCTCTCGCAGAACTCAGGTATTCCGCCGGTCAGTGCAGGGTGTGTAGAGTCTCTCATGCAAAGTACTCGGCCGTTACTGCACCGCTTTCACCTATCAAGAGACAATGCCCGAAAAAAGCTGCACCCCTCCCGCCCGCAAACCGCAGGGTAGGATTTCCAATGTCTTTTTTAAGGCAGTGAGAGATTGCGCTGGTTGTCAGTGACAAGATTCCGGGCACGCTAGGGCCGACAACCTGCCTCAAAGCCATCCAAAGTGCAATTGTAGCTTA